CGGGGCTTTTCCCGCCGAGGACTGGCCGCTCGCTGGGCAGCAGCCTTCCCCAGCAGCCCGGTCAGCCCCGAAAAAACCCTGCGCTGCACCCCCGGTCTCCTGGGAGCACGGACTAACGGCTTTTCCTTTTATTTCCTAGGGGAAAAAGAAGAGACGAACACGGGAAAAGCAGCAAGATTCCAACTCAGGTAAATGCATGCGGCTCGGTGGCTGTCCCTTTGTTTCTGCTCAGAGGGGATAATCCGAAGGGAAAGCTGTTGTCCTGTTTTACCGTGGTTTCTTTTATTCTCTTGAGCTTAACAGAAAAAATACACTTTTTTTTTTTTTAAGACATTGTAAATTAACACTTCTGTGGCTTTTTCATAGTCGTGTTTGAATTAGAACATGGATAGTTCATGAAAACTGAAAATACTAGGTTTTGGCAACTGTGTAACTTCATATAAATCATGAAAACTTAAATCATATAAACTTAATCTATTCAAAACATCCAGGGTGAATGTCCCCGTCAGCCCTACAGATACCATTAACTAAAGAAAACTCCTCTCAAATGCATCAATATTGCATGTGGGACTAAATGCAGTGACAGGATTGAAGACTGGGGACCCATGGGACTACCCCAAATTTGGTTTTCATTTCAAAGTAACCTAGAGTTCAAGCAAAGTCATACTAAAACCCAGTACCAGACTGTTTATTAGAAAAGGCCCTTTTGACAGATTTCAGCTGGTGACACACGCATTCCCATCATCCAGGGCTATTCCTGTGCTGGTTTCTGAAGCATTGCTGCCATATTGGGAATAAATAATATCTGTACTGCTAAATATTCATTATAAAACATCTAGAGACTGTCCTTGCCCACTATGGCATCACGTATACATGAAGTTAGGCAGCCTGTTTTTTCCAGTATGTCCATTCTGTGATTGCCTATAAACTTACAGAGAGCTTTTCCCACTCTCCAGCCTACCAGTTCGTTACTGTTTGTTGCTCTTACTTACTTTTGGATGAAATTACGTCAGCCAGATGGTAGGCTCTTGGCTTTCTAAGCAAAACACTAGTTCTCCCTGCCTCCAGAAATGCTCCCTGGGGAGGATGCCAGGTCAGCCTGTTGCTCTCCTGGCCTTGCACACCCATGCAAAGACCTGTCACACCTGAGCTGGGGACCCCAAGGTGCGCAGCTGGCTGCATCTGGGTGCTTCAGTTGTTGGTTAGGACATGGGAGTCCAGCTCTGGTGTTACTGCAACAGATTACAATCCATGCAACCAGAATCCTGCAGCCTTCATTAATTCATGAAGTACAGATTGTTGCATTAATTTAATGAATCACCGTTGGATGACCTCTTCGAATTGTCCATAAAATGCAATTCTATGACTGTGTCCCAGTAATGTGTTCAGTTTAGTCAACACTGTTGATCTCATTCAGTGTCTAGACTGATAAGGGCAATACAAGCTTTCAGGCTTATATGTAGTGTATATGTATATAGTCATATATACATATATATGTCTTGTCTGTGTGATACAAAAATGATAATTTCACCCATTATGCACTGAAAACCAACTGCTGGTCACACACAACAGGAGACGCTGGTGGTGGCTGAAAGAGGGAGTGTGAATCCAGCACAGAAATGTGCTGCTCAAATCCCATTTATAGCACTAGAGAAAAACCGTGATGTGCAGGAAAGCAAGAGGGCTTCACCCTAATGAGTCCCATAATTATACAGTAAAACTGCAACATTTTAGTAAAGGCCACGGAAAATAGCTTTTCCATGAAAGGGGAATGGCGGGGCGCAGAGTAGAATAACCCGAGCCTGGGTCTCCTTGGTGCTAACTCTGCTTTCAGCCTGCTTCTGCAACGTTTCCTCCTCTTCTTTTCCATGCACAGCTCGCTGGCAGCCCTGTTTAGTCACTGCTGGAAAGGCAGGGAGCAGGTAAGGATGCAGACACAGGAGGCAGGCAGCGCCTCTGGGATTTGACAGCTTTTCCAAACTTAAGAAATGCGAAGAGCCGTGAATTTCCCTGTAGACGCCCATATTTCCCAGAGCTGAGGCTGTTTCCCAAACCTCCTTCTTCTCCAGCTGGCAGCGGTGATCACTGATACTTGCCTAACGATCACTTTTTTCCAGGAGAGGTGGAGCCGGCACTGTTCTGTTGCAGAAAAGAAAAAAAAAAATTGGATTGTAGTCTGTCAGTCATGTGTTAAAGTGGCTAAAATGATGCTCTTTTCTTCCTCCTGCTCCTCCTCCTCTTTGTGCCTCTGCCTTGCCCATTCTCCGCCACGCATGCTTCTGTTCAGATCCTGCCTCTCCTAAGAAATGCAGAGCTCGCTTTGGCCTCAACCAACAAACGGACTGGTGCGGCCCGTGCAGGTGTGTATCAGCATCTCCTCGCTGCTGGGGTGCTCCTGGGCGAGCGGGTTCGGCTCCGTGCGTGCTCCTGCAGCCGTCCCAGCGCCGGCGAGGGCTGCTGCGGCCAAGGCGGGGACGGGCTTTTTCCGGGCATCATCAGGAGTTGTCGTCCGAGCTGCAAGGGTCAGGCTGCACCCTCAGTTTCTTACCCCCTCGGGCAATGTTGGTGTAATGCTGTACATGTTCCTTGGCTGAGGGGCTTCCCTGGTGTTAAAAGCTTATTTCCATGGTGGAGACCTCTGTGATGGTGATGCGGGGCTTTTTTCCCCTCTTAGTGATTTCCTATTGCATAAATAGCACCCTAGAGCCAACAGCGAGTAGTTAGTGTGTTTATTTTTCCTATTTATACTGGGGCTAACCATGTATTTTGAGATCCGCCTCTTCTCAGCCCTGAATTTTTGCAGCACCCCCCATGGGGTAGGAGCTCCTCAAGCAGCGAGACAGTTTGCAGGCGCCCTGTGCCTCGGGCTTCTTGGACATGGCCAGGCGGTGGTAAAGCTTAGTGCACAAACCAGCTGCTACCTGGCTCAGGGGTCACCTGCCTGAGGGGGCCTGCAAATGCATCCAGGCAGAAGAAGCTCATGGGGGGCCTCTGGACCTGGGCACCAAAGCATGGAGAGGCTCCAGCCTGGACAGAGGTTTACGATTCTTGGCACATTTTTATGTGCATTGAGGACTCCAGCAAAATCTGGAAGTAAAGTATTGCTTCATGTGCTTACCGCGGCTTAAAGCGACTAAAATCCTTTAG